GCCGTTTGTCTCTTCAGTTATTTCAAGGTATGCCTGTACACATTCTTATTATTTTTATATTTGAGAAAGGATTTGGCTGAGGAAATTAAAGAATTCCTTAGATTTAATTAATAAACACAGTACATGTATCATTAAATGAATTCCAGAAACATTTTTTTAGAGGTGTGAAAACTGTGAATGCATCTGATTGAGAGTGATAAATAATACGGTAACTGTTGCATTGCCAAAGTCCTACTCGGTGGTTGTCATTTGTTCACACCTAAAACTTAATGGACGAGGGGATGATATTTAAGGGCTGCAATGCATGTGATTTTGTGTAGGTCTATGAAAGAATTAATTTGTTGTTTATATTGAATGAATTGAATTGAATTCAGATAAATAGGGCTTAATAAGAGTCGAAAACTAAGTCTAAGGTCCCCCCTATGATCTCGGCCGTGAAACGCCCGATCGCCGCAAAAATTTGCATACATGTCAAGTGAAGTGTATAAAATACTATGGTAATTTCAATTTTTTTGAAAAATTCACTCTTTTGCATATTTATGGTAATTTATGCAAATAAGGTCATAAAATTCACATTTTTGCCCATAAATCAGACATTATTCATATTTAAGCATTCTTTCTCACTACATATATTTGTTAGACCATTTGGAATTATAATACAACTAAAAAAATTGAAAAACCAGGGTTATTCCTTATGTTATCTATTGTTTTGATAATTTCTTATGTATTTCTTTGTTTTTTAACTTATGTATTTTATTGTTTTTGTTGTTTTATTTCATTTCCAACTATAATTCAACTATTTTGACCCAAAAATAAACACCTAAGCTATAAACAAGACCAAATAACCAATGCTTTATCTCTTTATTTGAAAAATGAGATTTCCATATGTTTTGTACGCAAATCACAAAAATGAGCGATTTTTGTGACTTTGTAATGGTAGGTCCGATTTTCGGAAAATTTCTTTCAAAAGATGTGCAAGACTCAGTGCAAAATTTTCTTGCGTTAAAATTTATCGCGAAAAATGTCGAGGGGGGGGGGCCGGGCTAAATAGGGTTAGGGAAACGTCTACGCTTTTCGCGCTTCGCGCGAGAGGGTGAAACTGAATTCAGATAAATAGGGCTTATTAAGAGTCGAGCACGGTTCAACGAATAGTCTACTTTCTCTAATAATTTAATGAAACGCCAAAACTTCCGCGCGGGAGGGGGGGGAACTGAATTCAGACAAGGATTAACAGTCGAGAACGGTACAGCAAATCGTCTTCTTTTTATAATAATTTAATGAAACGCCAAAGCTTTCGCGCTTCGCGCGGGAGGGGGGGGATTCATTCAGACAAGGGTTCACAGTCGAGAACGGTACAATTAATCTTCTTCTTTCCCTAATAATTTAAGAAAAAGGGTCTAAGCATTAAAATATATAGCTATGATGCTGACTAAGTTAACGAAATAATTCGTATATTTATGTCGTCGAGGAAAATGACCATTTGGGCATACGCAAGTACTATAGATAGTCCGTAGGAAAAACAATTAAGCCTTCGGCCACGGGTATATAGGGTTAAATTTGAAAATATTGGGACATTTATTTTTGTCGGTAATTGGGGGCTAGTTTTGTCGGTTATCGTTGGCCTCTACACCCCCTCCCCCAAATAAAAAAAGGTCTAGCGACGTCCCTGACCATTATACATCATTTTCTAAGTGATGGGACTCAAAATAAAGAGTTCGCATCTTCTTTGACGAAATACTCAATCTATGTTACTACTTGAAAGTGTGTCGTCTTATTTCGGAGTTCATTATAATAAAACACTACAGTTTGCAGCTGTCAGTATTTCGAAATATGTCCAATTCTTTTACTTTATGGTTGTCAAATTTGGCATGTGCGTGCATGTATGTATGCATGTATAAATTTATGTACATGTGTTTGGTTGGGTGTGTGTGTGTGCGTGTGTGTGTGTGTGTTGTGTGTTTGTGCGTGCGCGATCGCGTGCGCTTGCGTAACTTAGTGTGGGCGTGTGCTCGTGCTAGTATGTGATGGCTATCGCCGATCATCCCCCCACTCCTCGGTATGGATTTACGCCCCTGCTACAAAATATAGGGTAAATTACATTTTGTTCTACAAAATATAGGGTAAATTACACGTTGTTATACAAAATATAGGGTAAATGTGATTTATTACATTAAGCCCGTTCACCCACCAAAAAGACCATTTTTAATTATCGTCGATTTTTTTTTTTTTTGGTCTATAATGACTACTGGAAAAATCCATGAAATGACCCTCGAACTTTGCTCATACCGGGTTTAGCATGAATAGTTGGCGACTCGTCGGTGCCCTGCATGACCTGCATGAATTAGCGCGAATCGAGGAGAGTCACGTAAAGAAAAACCGGTATACCTTACCAAAGTTTGCTTCGGTGGAGAAAAATGTGAAACTTCGGCGGGCGTTTAAAAAACACTCCAGTGTTATGTTGGGGTTTTCGATTTCGATTCTTCGTCGCGTACGTTTGCCGATACCGGAGAAACACCAGAATGTGAGAAAAACCGTCGATTATTGGTTTCAGTTTAAATGCAGCTCATGTTCATTTGCTACATTAGCCACTAGGTTTGCTCGTCAAAAATAATGCGCGCGACTATGACAATGCAAACTATATCACCTCGTTTACACACAGAACCGGCTCGCGGAGTCACCCTTCCAGTCTAGACTCGCCTTTTCCCCTGTGTAAACGCAGAACAGCAGACCCGCAAGGTGGGCCCACTGCTGAGGTCAATGGGCAGGCCAGAGTTTTTTGCTCGACGAAAAGGGTTTTTAAAAACGCGCGGTGTTTCCACTGATCGCGAGATCCCTAAAACATACCGTCGGGGTACAAAATGAGAGGCAAGCTATATATTGTCACTGGTTCAGCGTTGAGGGTGTGTTATTTTCTCAGGTAATCCATTGTATGATCATGAAGAGTATCACGGTCCCGCCCCCCCCCCCCCCCCCACTCCGGTCGGAATGACCGCATGCGTGTTACCAAAATGTCCGGTAAAGGGGTACTTTTCGTGCGACAAAGTCCGGCCCGAGAATTGTAAAAAAAAAAGGGGTGTATTTGACTTTTCAACCGGAGATTTCTTTAAAAAGGGGTTGTTTTTTTTTTTTTTTTTTTCTCTCATCTCTTTGGACTCCTGAGAAATTATTCCGAATTTAGGGGGGTACATAGAGCATTTTTCCGTATTTAGGGGGGTCTCCAAGGCAGAAAAAGCCCGCGAAAAGCCCGCGAAAGGGGGGTTCGGAAATGTTGGCAGTCCTCAGATAGGGGGTGCTTTCAAAAAGAGGGAACGAGCATACGCGTACCCTATAATTAACACTGAGTGGGGGGCCGGGATCACGGTAAATGGGTACGTGCCAAATTGCCCGCAGGGTTGCCTGGATGGATACGGTATGACGCAAAAATATACTCCTTTGACCAAGTGGTTAATATAACATCTAAAATGACCGGGAGTGCAATAGGCCAATTAATAATAATAATAATAATATTCAATTTTTATCTAGCGCTTAATACAAATGTCTCTAAGCGCTTTATAAATATACTCTTACCCCGGTCATTGGATTCAGTGCCTGCCCGCACATAATGTGTGCACAATCTCCAGCCAGGCGTTACATGACGCTCAAAAACTGTTTGACCAACAATGACGGTCGCATCCAATGGTCGCAATCAATATAACGTGACGACTCTAAAACTAACTAACTATTTCCATGCAATACCAAATCGAGCTTGAACTTATATTACTTCATATAAAGCTTTATTACAAGCTAAATCACGAATTTGTTTTGTTTGGAAACAATCCATGAAAAATTTACGATTACAGGAAGAAAATAAAATTCTCACTTTTAAGTGTGTACACATAGGCCTAGTTCAATATTCGAGAAAGGAAAATACAAAAACATGAGACCAAACAGATGCCGTATTGTGGGAAATGAATTTTAAATTATAAAAAATATGTTGAAAATATGATATTTTTGGGGAAAAATGAATCATTACAACATTCTTCTGTTACAGTATAATAAAGTGAAAAGTGATTTTTTTTTTTTTAATTAGTAAAATTACAAGATAGTATGAATCAATCAATGTATAATCATTTACCATTTACATGTTGACATGATCTACTTTTGATCATTTTACTTATAGTTATAGTGCCTATTAAATAAGTGATGAATTGTAACTTCTTTGATGTAAACAAATGATCTACTTTTGATCATTTTACTTATGATTATAGTGCCTATTAAATAAGTGATGAATTGTAACTTCTTTGATGTAAACAAAATATCAGAATGTAAATGACAATTAAAAAGTACTTTATTTTACAGATTACATGCATAAGATGGATATTGTCTTTAACAAAAATAACAACCAACCATCCCGCTAACTGAGAGAGTTGAAACACAGAATAGATTAATATATAATTTAAAAATCAGAATGACGCACAATAGCTTTGTATGCACATTTAGACTGAAAAACTCTTAAAGATAAGGTTGAGTTCTGGGGAGAGGTGAAATATAATTTGTGAGCATTATCATTGTTATTATATAAGTACGGAAGAACATCAGAGAAACATTTTCCACTAAAAAGCATAGCTCTTCAATTGCCTTAATATTCTAAATACGACAAGTAACAGCTTACAAAAGAGGCCCGATTTTTATGTTTGTGTAGTCCCATAAACATCGATCTGTGTACAGTGCTTGTTTCTTTACCAAGACTTGGCCCAATTTCTTATCATTTTGATGACTCCAGAACCTTACAGTACGCACAAATACTTAAATGCTACATGACTGGGCCAAATTTCTTATCATTTTGATGACTCCAGAACCTTACAGTACGCACAATTACTTAAATGCTACATGACTGGGCCAAATTTCTTATCATTTTGATGACTCCAGAACCTTACAGTACGCACAAATACTTAAATGCTACATGATCAACTTTTTCTGATCGATTCCACACCGTTTCTTTCACATTGCAATCGCATGACCAGAACTCAACTTTATTTTAATGCAAGAACAATGATAATGATGCCGATAAATTCGAGAGAAAAAAAGGAATACAAATAAAGATAAACAAAATATGTGATACAAATTTGATGTTTGTATACTTTACACGCCTTTCCACATATTTGTTTTCCAGTCTGGTTCAATCAGTGTATTATTTGCCTGAATATTCCTCGCGACCGGAAAATACCCACGGTCTTTTATAAAACGATCTGACAGACGGAGCTTCGAGCATAATGACAGGGCAAATCACGCCATTTGTAACGATAGGAAAGTGCTACACATTTTTCATTTCCGTAGCCGGTTGGGTGACCGCTTGACCAACCTAAAAGGGGAGACATAATTTATTATAGTATTATGCGTGCTACCCCCATGCAGGATAATGATGGTAATAATAATGTAGCTAATAATGATAATCCATGTAATAATATACATGAATTTATAAAGCGCAGCTATCCATAACAATCTGATCAGGATACGACAACGTGGATTTGCAATGTAATGCAATGCAAGTTTTATGAAAAATAGTTCTGCAGTTAATTCATAGATAAAGACAGTAAATTTTAGATAAACAGATACGTTTTCAGTTGTGCTTTGAATAGTGTTTCTGAAAATGTTTGGTTTTTATAGCATGGATGTAAGATCTTTAGAATATAAACAAAGCACTATGACATTACGAATACACCCTTCCGTTTCATTTATTGATCTCCAATAAAAAAAAAATATATAAACAAAAATTAAATAAAGAAAATTTTAGTTCAAAATAGTACTTAACAATATATCAAGTACAGTGCTGTGAATCCCAAGACCAATGTGTACATTGCATCAGCAAACAAATATTATGATGGAGCTAATTAATTGATGTTGCAGTAATTACAACCAATATAATTCAAAGGTTGGAAATACATTCGATAGGCGTAATTACGTGTAGCAATACTGAGCTGAATTATCGAGATTAAACTTACTGGTTGAGTTAATCTGCACAGCTCCGTTGCCATCCACGTCGCACATGAACAGCCCTTTGGTTTCCATTTCATTACAGTTAATCCATGAATCACGTAGATTATTTCCGTGCTTGAGTATTAAGGCGAGCCGGGACGCTTCTTCGGTATCTGCAAATAGGAGGGATGGTGTCCTGTCTCCTGCAGCCGTGGTTATCGGTCCAAGGGTCGGGCAGATGTTGTGAGCGTGATGCCACATCAGCCACCTTGCATCAAAGCGGTAGCATTTCGAGGACGTGCATTCCCATTCTGTCTCTGAAGGACCGATGAACATTTAAAGCATTTCAGTAATCGAGATTAATTGGTATTTTGATGGAACAGATTTCAAGAAAGAGATGTCTTTGAGGATAGTCAACTGAATATAATATAGTCAGATTTTTTTTTATTGCAGTCACTTCTGTGTACATTATCTAAATGGTCACCTAAATTATTTTCCTTTAAGAAGATAAATGTGCACCAGAATCTGTTTAGGAATAAAAGCCATCTGTCTACACGTCCATATTTTTGTTTATCTTGCGATACCTTAGCAGTGGAATGACAGTATTTGCATATCATTCATACCTCCAGCTCCGATAAAATGTAAATGTGAAGTAATGATATCAGATTAATCGTTATGCCTAGGTGTGGAATCACATTCGACGGAAAGTAAGAAGGCATTGTAATGGGTCCATAATGGGTCGGTGACTACGAGTTCAGAAACAAAATGATTACGAAACAAGCTCGGAAATACAGTTGAAGTCCACTTTATTATTTATAAACTCAGCCAAACCTCCAGTAGTTCAAACGAAGATTATTTATTTAAGGACATTTTAAAATAGCTTATTCTCTCAGAGGCTGGGCGGCCCAATAAATTGAGCGAATTTAGCAGCACATCCTTAACAGAGTAACGGAACGAAATAAGACTGAGCTACAAAATGTTGTTGATGTTTTTTTTTTTGTAATGGCAATCAGTCAAGAACTGACTATTATCACCAACGCCTTTCTTTTTAATATTAATTTCTTTCTTTCTTTTTTTTCTCTTTTAGAATATTAAAAAAAATGGGCTTCTCTCTCTTTTTCTCTTCCCCCCTTAAAATGAAATGAAAAAGAAAAAACCGACAAAATTTAGATATTTGTTGTAGGTTACCGCGTAGTCCTGTCCATTCTCAGACACCGTCCAGACACCGTCCTGTCTCTCGGGTGTAGACAGTGGGCGCCCTTTGGGCTACATTAATAATCTGGAAACTCGAAAGAAGAAAGGAATTGGTCAACAATCGTAAAATCAAGAGGGTACTTTTAAGGGGAAATTGGCTTTGAGCGACCTCGCAACTTCAACGAACCTTCGATCTAAAAACAAATTTTGTGATAGAGTGGTGTTTATAATACATATTGCATTGAATAATTAAACTTTTTAGGGGAAACAAACAAAATGGGGGTTTTTGTGAACGGTGGTGAAAAGCAAATATTTAAAAAAAAAAAAAAAAAAAAAAATGCCCGATTATTTTTGGTTAAATGAAACGTTTCATTTTTAGAATAAAACGGTATGAAGCGTTTTCAATGCAAGCATCTGATGAATTAAAGAGCCTTAAAATTTCGTCGGGATTTATACAATCTGTTTCAGCGAGTAGCATGGATCTTTCAATTTAATACTTCGGGCACTTTGCTATAAAGTGTTCAGCGGTTTCTACTTTTCGACATGAGTTACAGTGTCCAGTTGGATGTATTCCCATATTCGGCCTAGATCCGCGTTAAGACCGATGTGTCCTCGTCCTAATCGACGTATTATTATTTTTTTTGCCACCACCATACTATACGGTAGAAATATCCAAGGTCCGTCTCCGTAAACTCACGCTATTTTACCTCGAGTTGCAGTTGAAGGCGCCGATTTAATAATAATAATAAAAGTAAACAATGCTGTTTTAACAACCAAAGATGACTTTACCTCCGATTCCAAACAGAAATCCCTCTTAAGTCATGATTCGATTACGTAATATATGTCATTGTCATATTTGGAAATTAAATTGGTGGCGCACAAGGCAATTTGACACGCTTTAGGTTAATATTTCGAAAGTAATTGCTATCGTACATGTTAAAATATTCTTTCTAGAAGGCGTCGCCTCGACTCATCATTGAGTGAAACAGTGACAGATGGCTATTAAAGTATTATCAACTATACGTTTTTACTAACATTTTATGAGCATAGGTTTCAAAGAGTATAGACTTGGATAGGCTACAGTTATCTTTGAGGTAATATCAAACAAAAATCATACATGACATACCTACAGATACGAGGGTGATGTTGAAAGAACAGTTTGTGTTTACAAGGCCGCTGTTGTCGGTCACAGTATAGATGACGCTAATGGGGCTATTCACGGAGACATTAACTCCAGGTTCATAGTTGGCGACGATGAATGCAATTCCAGACGCATCACTGGCTGTTGGTGGTGTCCAAGTGATTGGTGTGGTGGTTTTGAGGACTGAGAATGTCTGGTTAGAAGGGCAGGATTGTACCACTGGAGGGGTGGTATCGACTGTGATATCAAGACATAATAAGAATGTAGTTTTGTGTCTTATGGTCTGTTATCCAGTCAAACCATCATGGGCTCAGACAAACTGACTCAAAAGTGAAGGAGCATTTCATTTTAACCTTCAATCGAATGGTTGAGTTGATGAATCATCAATTTCATTGTTATTTTGCTTGTATCGACCCGAACATCTCTCCATCTTTCTCAAATTAAAGTGTTAAAAGAGAGTGCTCATTAATACCAAGTATCCCTTTACATAATATCATGAATAAAGTAGGTAAAAATGTCAAATAGCAAAACATGCTTTCCTTTATACCTGTATTGACGTTGACGTTGAAGGTACAAAGAGATGCCTGGTTTCCGCTCTCATCAGCAAAGATGTACTCAACGAGAGTTGACCCGACTGGGAAATCATCACCCGATATATAGTTCTGAGAGACCAGGACGACAGTTCCTTCTCTATTGACAGCCGATGGTGGGGTGAACTCTACCGACTTATTCGGAGTACCAAGCTCGACGGTTACTGTGATATCCTTCAAACAGGTAACAAAAATTCCCTGGGTTGTTGCAGGCGGATTTGTGTCAACTAGTTTAAAGATTGATAGATAACATTGGTGAAATGAATAAAATAAACAGGAAAGTTGGAGAAAAAGTTCTTGATATATATTTCCAAACATTTCACCTTGCAGCCTCATACCGACGACCTCCCGCGGTCAGTTCAGTTACGAGACTATTAGCGTGTCCACACACAATTTTTTTAATTTTTTTTTATCCCGAAACTCTAAAAGAAATGTATAAAGAATCTTCGTATAAATTCCAGGGTGTCCACACTCAAGAAACGTCGTATAAAGAATAATCGTATAAATTCCAGGGCTTCAACACACACCAGAAAGTAATCACGAAACTCTAAAGCGAAACGTCCTATAGGTGCGCAGTTTGCTACTGCGGTCATGAAACGAAAGCGGAAATGAGAGATCGGGTCTCCTTTCGCACGCGGTCACGTTAAGCCCCTCCCAGTTATACCGTTCAAGTTTGACCAGTTATACTAGTTACGTCCACACACAACATATTCCGTGATCATTACGCGTGATTCTTTATTGAGGTCTAGTTCGAAACGATGTCCAAACCCGCGTTCAATTATACGACGTACCGTTAGTAAGCGTCAACACACACAATTTCATCATATAACTATTTTTAGTTATACGATGAATTTGTTGTGGGTGGACACGGGATATAATGCAGGTAACGGTTGGTATCTTCTTAGATTCGAGTCTAGAATTACGAGATTGGCCAATTTACGCTTTTGAAATTCCGATGTAATCCGTAGCTCATTTCATTAAAAAAAAAATCAAATCGTAGTTTTGTCGTAAAGTGCGCGATTGCCGAAATAAAGGATGACGTAAAGTAAACTACTTGTCTTTATTGGTAACTGCATCGTGCTGGATGGTTTAATTATACTCTAAAGATAGGAAATGCAATTTTTTTCTTAGTTCTTACGTTCATGACATTGTTTTCCTTGAAATCCGATAGGGCAGTGACATCTATATCCGGTCATAGTCTCCTCACACCAGCCGTTTTCACATGGATTAATGTCGCAATCTGCGAACATATGTAATGAACATGACACTGAATAAATACAAAACAGCATCGCTGATATTAGAATTACTCCGGGTTTCTTGAATAAGACCAAAATCAAATAGTTATAAAAGTTCCTAATGTATTCCTAGATACAATCATTATTTTTTCTTAAATACCATGTTCGAACTGAAAAATGAAATGGATGAATTATAAATCAACGGAAAGCTTGTGAGCCATAGATTACAATAATATCAATTACATTCCACTTTAGAGTCTGTCATAGGAGTATCAGCCCTCCGAAAACTCAAAATCTAAAGCTTTGAAAATCGGAAGTTGTCGACCTAAAAACTAGCCATCGACTTGATGACATCGTCTCATGCGGAGTGCGCATATTCACAATGACTTTGCATTAATCAAGCACGGCTCATCGCCTCAACTTTATAGGCGAACCGGTCAAGTCCGCATGCTATGTCGTCACTGTAACTGCGGCAAATTTGACCGCTGTTGACCCGTAATTTGACGGGGCACGGAAAATGAGGTTTTAATTTGCTTTCGTGCAATAATAAAAGGGTAAATACTTTTTATTCCTTTATATTTATATTCTACATTAATTCAGTTTCCCAATTATACACGTTTTATTTTCATCGGCTAGAGTCTTTAAAGTCCAAACAATAGTGGAAAAGCTCTTCTAAGGATTTTAGAAAAAAAAAACAGAGAAGAAAACAATCACCCGGAAATCTGCAGACTCGACGTCCAGGAGGAACACCAAGTTTACTCTCCCTTCTTGGGCAACCGCCTCCTCCTAATGAATTAGGGATAAGCTTTGGGATGGTTTGTACCATACTGCCATTGAGGTGTCCTTTCTTCTGACACTCAAAGAACATTGGTAAGGTGTAATTCAGGCCGAATCTGTCCGTACAACAAGTCTTTGTCTCATTCATGCTTGCATCCGATGACACGAGTAGGGCTGTGGGGAAGATATACAATGAGAGTAGTTTCCATGGTCAGGCGCGTACGCAGAGGGGAGAGGGGGGGGGGGGTTAACCTCCCTCATTTTTTGTAGTTGTAAAAAAAAAATTGTGGTAAAGGAGGCCTCCCCCCCCCCCCCCCCCCCCCGCCCGGCTGGCTGAGTCGTTGCGAAATTTTCGGCGCGATTTTTAATTTTAAAACAACCCTCTTGAAAAAAAATCCTGCGTTCGCCACTGACCATTGTCGCATAGGATTCTTTTCCCTCCGTTAAGACTATCCTAGATATTACCCCTGCGATGATCTACTTCGTATAGATTCGGTATCATTTCTCCGCTAGGTCATAATCTTTCGTGTATTCTCTTCCAATCACCTTTCTCCTGATATTTTGTTTACTACATGTATTTAATTTTATCTACTAACATGACGCAGATCTGATGTTCGAGACCAACCCCCACATGGCACGAAGCATCGATTTGTACATTTTATATTGAGAGAATTGACTTTGAGGAAGATATATATTCCGGAACAGGCATGTAACTGATCATTCAGAATATAATAATTTGTTCTTAGTGTATTTTCCATTTTGGGGGCTTATCTGCTTTTTTATGAAATATTTCATTGTATTCTTTGACTTTGCATGTTTTTTTATGAAAGTGGTGAATAAAGTTCAATTCAACTCAATAATCAACCAAATAATTTTCATAATGAAATGCATTATCTTCTAAAACAGAGCAGGATAGGTGATAGTAATGAAAATGGGGAAATGGACATTATTAAAGAGGATCTTTAAAACCCCATCCCAATTTGCAGTAACACACTTGTGACGCTATGATAATTCAGTGGAAGATGAGTGGTAAAGAAAGTTAAGGGGAGAAAATATAGGAGGGGGATGGGAGAGAAGAAATTGGCAAGAAAGGATAACAAATATGATCTATGTGTTGATTATAAGCAGGTTAACGTGTTTTATTTTGTGGCGAAAACGATATACGGTCCCGAAGGCAAAGTACCAAACTAATCACAAGAGCTAAGCCTATGAAAGAGAACATTTAGTTCGAGCTATATGTATTTCATTTTGATGAAATTCCGCCATTAAAACGTGTGATCATGGCTCTGTAAGCATGAACGTTTCACTTTTCAAGAGGAATTACAAATGCGTAGAAAAGCAATATTTACCGATGGACAGGCAGATTACGATGCCATAGGTACATTCCAAAACATACTTCTGTTCCATACTCTGTGCTGAAAGGGAAAGATAGTGATGATAACAATAATCGTTATTTTATCATGATACAAGTTAAGATTTTTGTTAAACTTCATGAATGTATCCTTAATCTGTTTTGCAATACATGTTCATAATCAAAATGGTTCACATCTTTGAAATCCTAGGTTTTAAAAAAAAGTACGTGAGGGTAATCATGAATCAACCAGATTTTAACAATTTTACACCCGGATAATGTGTTATCCAAAGAACTACCCTATTTCTGCTTGAACAAGAATGTGAGCACCATTTATCCAACTTTACCCGATAGTCAGATAGGCATAATGATTGAGGTAACCATCTTTACAGGGCGAATGTTTTCGTCAATTATTACTCACCGGTTTGGTAGAAAAGACAACAAAAACCTCGTAATAAGTTGATCTTGATCTGATCAACCGATTTGGTTCTATCTAGTAAAGGACGAAGTTAAAAAGACAAATTAGCATTGCAAATCGAATACTATGCGAAAAAAACGAAGCATTGGTTAAGAAGACTCTAAGAACTGTTGAGCTCCAACATCCGTGATATCCAAGCCAATAGATTGTAATATCACTGCAGCGGGTGCATAAGTCTTGTTGTTTTTGGCGGCGAGTGATATTGCTACTTAGGTGAAGAGAGATGAGCTGCGAGAGGAATAGTCGCAAGGAAATCATCTGATTGGTCCGTTAAAACAATTTATAGTCTGTCGTTATAGCAGCGTCAATAGGGACTTTTAGAATTGCACAACGACAACGTGGATTGCTACGATCGACGTCCTTTTAATGCACTGCCTTGAATGGACGTCACACGTATCAGTACACGCAAATCGAAAATTCCCTATTACCATATCAACGATACGTTGATATAGTTACATGTTACGCCTCTGAGGAAAACGACATGAATGCATGGAATGTTTAATTGTTAGTACGACATCTATGAACAAAATGACAGTATTTCTTAGTGATAGTGGTGGTTATTTTACCTGACAGCTAAGAAACGGTAAATGCTTGTTAATAGTAAGCAACCCGAAGACCGACGGCTTTAGGTCCTCTCTGAGTGACCTGGTAATGAGGATTAATGCCTCACCAAAGGGCACTATCGCATCGCCTTGGTTTCGAACTCGGTTCCCCGGATTACGAGACCACTACTCTACCGACTGAGCTATCGCGCCTCCTTTCAAAGATTCCCCCCCCCCTTTTTTTAAACTCCAACTAGAAACATCATTAAGGGAAAAGAAAAAGAACTTTCGTCAGTCATTGTCAGTATATAAAATGAAAACGGTCCATCGGAGAAAAAACAGCAACAACAATAAACGACAGGGCGTTCAATGTTTTTGTTTTCAAAATACCTTTTTGGGAAACAATTTGTTGTGACAATGAACATCCATTATTTCTTATCGGAATTTAATCCGAATCGTATGCCATGGAACTTCACAAAATCCTAGATCCGTGTGGTTTTCCAATGCATATATGTGGGGCTTTCTTATTCTTTCATGACTGGAAGATGCAAGCGAACGGAAAATAGTCTTCTGTGTGTGTGTGTGTGTGTGTGGGGGGGGGGGTAATGATTTGAAAATGTTGGAAGTTGTTTTAAAAATGTGATCAGTGGTAGATTTGAAGGACAATTTACAAAATATTTTGTCACATGACTGAATAGTCTCCTCTTTTCCCTTCTGAATTCTCCGTTGTCAAGTCGTTGATATTTGTGAATCATGTTTCCACGCTTGACATGAGCTCGGAGCTCTTCAAACTCCCCCAATTTACAATGATACAATATCCAAAAAATAAAAACGTCACCAAAAAAAAAAGAAAAAAGAAGACACTTCATAAATATAAAATACTTCATAAAATATAGGGTCGCTTTCACATCAAATGAAAAAACCGCTATTGACAAGTTTGTCTAAAGACATTTGATCAGCTCCACTGCAGTTAAGACGATTTGTTATGAGTAGTTGGACGATTGAAAGTGTGTTTTTCTTCACTTTACAATCTTAAAGAAAGTTAGAAATAAAGAAAAAAACCTTTTTGATAGGTGAGATGCCGTTTATAGACTACTTAAGAGAATATACAAAAAAGCTTAATTAGGGCACCTTGAAATTCAGGGAAAAGAAAAACAAAAGATTGAAGAGAGAGAGAGAGAGAGAGAGAGAGAGAGGGGGCATTGTGCCCATACACCCTTCGAATACCAACCTAATCTTCGTACATAATGCAATATTCAGATAGATAGTGACTTCAATTGATTGAGTAAATCTGATCGTGTTGTTTTCACTTTTTCTCATGTGTCTTTTTGATAAAGAGTAATAATAAGAAAGTGAATCGTGAGTGCTTAGCTTTTAAGAGGAAGTTCAAGATGATTAGGATTTTTGTTATTAACTTGAATTAAATTTGTAGCGATTTTCTGTTCATTGTAACATTATACCAAAGGGCAAAGATCTGTGAGAAATAGGATGAGAGTGATGTTTTCACCGTCACTATGGTGACGGGAAAAGCAAGTCTCCGTTGTCAAGTCGTTAATATTTGTTCATCGTGTTGCCACGCTTAGCATGAGCTTGGAGCTCTTCAAACTCCCCCAATTAAAATGATACAATATAGAAAAGTTTAAAACGTCATCACAAAACAAAACAAAAAATGTATACACTTGACAATCCATAGGGTCGCTTTCACATCAAATGAAAAACCGTTTACTACAAGTTTGTCCAAAGACATTTTGGTTTTTACTTTCGATTTTTCTGCATTTTTCCAAATATAATAACAGAATAACAAAGAACATATAAACGTAAGGTATAATACAACATTTATGTACATATAATAATGAAACTTAATATTTCTATAACATATTATTATAAATTTAGAGTATGATCCGAACTATCTGTTGAAAAAGTGCAGGAGACCGCAATCATAAGCGATGCTTGTTTTTTTTTTAAAGAGATGCTTTAAAAGAATAGAGAGATGAACAATACCTTATTGTATTTGTGTTAATATTTGAGTTTAAACTGTAAATGTTGTAAAATAGGGATGGTAGTTGACCATGAGAATATTTATGCATAAAAATGCTTGTCTGGAAAATTTGAATATCTTGTATTTTTACTGTTTTTAAACGATGAAATAAAGTTTTGTATGTGATATATAATTTAAGTTAGTACTCATGCGAATCGCTCTCTGTTGAAGCAAAAACAAGGAATTAATTCTTGTCAAACTAGAATTATCCCATACAATATTACAATATAACACATGTGATAAAATTAGAGAATTGTATAATATAATCATAGATCTATCAGAGAGATTTTTCAAAAACTTATACAGTATTCCAATAGTCCTTGATACTGATGTATGCATATCACGTATATGCTCATTAAATGAGAGTCATTAGGGACTCCTAAAAACTTTACAGCTTGTTTTTAAATGAGAGGCAAGCCGTGAATCTCAACATTAAATTCCCTTATTATCATGTCTGTTAGTCTTTTAAAATTAAATGAAATTTGTTTTCACTAAGATTAAATGATAATGTATTATTATTAAATTTGTTTACAATTTCCTCGTCCAGCTTGCATATAGATTTTCCACAATAATTTTTCTAAATTTCCTTCAAAGAGAGAAAAAAAATGGTTATGATAAAAAAAAAGTAGGAAAAGATATGTGATAAAAGAGGAAAAAGAAAGAGAACACCTACTGCCTCCCCTCCGCCCCTCACTACGCTAAAACACTCCATAACAAGGACGACCAAAAAAAACACACACATAAAACGAAGTTTACTGTTAAATAGTGACTTCAGTTGTTTGAGTAAATCTGATCGTGTTGTTTTTCACGTTTTCTCATGTGTCTTTTTGATAAAGAGTAATAATAAGAAAGTGAATCGTGAGTGCTTAGCTTTTAAGAGGAAGTTCAAGATGATTAGGATTTTTGTTATTAACTTGAATTAAATTTGTAGCGACTTTCTGTTCATTGTATACCAAAGGGCAAAGATCTGTGAGAAATAGGATGAGAGTGATGTTTTCACCGTCACTATGGTGACGGGAAAAGCAAGTCTCCGTTGTCAAGTCGTTAATATTTGTTCATCGTGTTGCCACGCTTAGCATGTGCTTGGAGCTCTCCAAACTCCCCCAATTAAAATGATACAATATAGAAAAGGTTAAAACGTCATCACAAAACAAAACAAAAAATGTACACACTTGACAATCCATAGGGTCGCTTTCACATCAAATGAAAAACCGTTTACTACAAGTCTGTCCAAAGACATTTTGGTTTTAACTTTCGATTTTTCTGCATTTTTCCAAATATAATAACAGAATAACAAAGAACATATAAACGTAAGGTATAATACAACATTTATGTACATATAATAATGAAACTTAATATTTCTATAACATATTATTATAAATTTAGAGTATGATCCGAACTATCTGTTGAAAAAGTGCAGGAGACCGCAATCATAAGCGATGCTTGTTTTTTTTTTTTTAAAGAGATGCTTTAAAAGAATAGAGAGATGAACAATACCTTATTGTATTTGTGTTAATATTTGAGTTTAAACTGTAAATGTTGTGAAATAGGGATGGTAGTTGACCATGAGAATATTTATGCATAAAAATGCTTGTCTGGAAAATTTGAATATCTTGTATTTTTTCTGTTTTTAAACGATGAAATAAAGTTTTGTATGTGACATATAATTTAAGTTAGTACTCATGCGAATCGCTCTCTGTTGAAGCAAAAACAAGGAATTAATTCTTGTCAAACTAGAATTATCCCATACAATATTACAATATAACACATGTGATAAAATTAGAGAATTGTATAATATAATCATAGATCTATCAGAGATATTTTTTAAAAACTTATACAGTATTCCAATAGTCCTTGATACTGATGTATGCATATCACGTATATGCTCATTAAATGAGAGTCATTAGGGACTCCTAAAAACTTTACAGCTTGTTTTTAAATGAGAGGCAAGCCGTGAATCTCAATATTAAATTCCCTTATTATCATGTCTGTTAGTCTTTTAAAATTAAATGAAATTTGTTTTCACT